CCTCTGCATGTTTCTAATAAGCTCCACGAGCAGAAACGTGCTCAAACTAGGATCAATATTGGAGATGCTTTTGAAAAAGGAGAGAGGTTAGAACACAGAAAGGTTTACAGACCCATGCAGAGCTGGATAAACACTGAAGCTTCAGAGTCCACCACATGGTGACCTGAGTGAGGGGGGGGGGACAGCTCTCTATGATGTTTAGAATTTAGACTGCAGTACCCATTTTAAACACTAGGGGTCAGAGTTGCATACTGATATAATAAGGTCACTACCACATGATTCCAGTGTAGACACTTTTGGACCATTTCTGACGACTTTCACCAAACAGACCGGTGAATAAACCCACTGAGCATCAGAACATGACCCGTCTCCTCCCTGCAGGCTGATCCAGTGCAGAGTGAGTGAAGACGGCCTCCTCGTCTTTATCACTGACATTCCAGAGCAGGCCATCGAGGAGCCACAGGAGAAGGAGGCACCGGTGCTGCAGGAGTCGTCAAACGGCGAGCAGACGGCCAACGACGGCGGGAACTCCGGCCTGAAGTCGGTGCTATCAGCAGGGAAGACGCAGAGCTCCTGGCCCGACGGCAGCGACCGACCCGTCGTTACCTTCAAAGAGAACATTAAGCCCCGAGAGCAGAGCCGAGAGCCGACGCGGAACCACAACCTGAAGGACAGCGGGAAGGAGCGCCGAGACTTCAACAAAGGAAACGGGGCTGCGGGGAAAGGAGAGCTGAAGAGGGACGGGAAGAGGAAGAGCGAGCTGAAGAAAGCCGCTCATGAGAAGACGCCTGATGCTGTCAAGCAGGTGAAGAAGCTCAAAGTTTAATTTAACATGGCGGCTCTGACTCTGAGGATCTTACCGAGACGCGTTCAAGCAGCCGAGGTCACGAGTCTCTTTGTTTTGTTTTTTTGTCGTTCAGGTCAAAGCGCAGACGGAGCTGAGGAAGACCCCGGTGTCTGAGGCCAAGAAGACTCCTGGCACTCAGACTCAAACCACCTGCTCCTCCCAGTTCATCCCAATCCACCATCCTGGAGCCTTCCCACCGCTGCCCAGCAGACCTGGTACACACACACACACACACACACACACACACTCTCAAACCCGGCCTTCTGTAGCCCCTCCCCCTACAGAGATTTAACCTCACAGACACAGGGAGTTGTTATTCTTCTGCTGCCTCTTTCTTTTAGTTTGTCGAGACCTCAGGCTGTTCTCAGTTCCCCATCAAACTTGGGTTTCCTCTGAGCCCGCCTTTCCAACAGCTCCCTCTGCAGGACACCAAGAGTCATTACAACACGCCCCACTGTGCTGTCACACAAAATCACACCAGGCCCTGTTGCCTAGTAACGTGCCAAAACACGATTTCCGCCACTCTCCAGTCCCAGGGTTCCCACTCGTCCTGGAAAACAATTGACTCATTTTCCAGTTCTGGAAAACACCTGGAAAATTAGAGAAAAAGGAAAATCAGGTGTTGTCCTGGAAAGTTATTCCAACACTCTCCTACAGGGTTGGACATTTTCACTGCGACATGTTAATAAAAGTATCTATTTGTTACATTAATCCACAACGCAGATTGAATGGAAGTCTATAGATAATGTAATGCTCGCCCCCCCCCCCTCACCCCCCCTCGTGTCAAAAGTGGATATTTATTTACAATTTAGTTGAGAGGATGAAGCGAAAAGATCCTTCACAAAAAGAGAAAAAAAACACCACGAGAGTGAATTGTGGTAACGACTATCAGGTGGAGTTGTGTTTTCTCCTCAGTTTGAGGTCCGCACATCAACAGCAGTTAGTTAACATTATTGATGACGTGCTAACTTGCACTGAATCTCTCTCTCTCTAGTCGGTCTTTCTTGCTAACCTAGCTGCTATCTCACTTCCAGGACTGTGTTCTGCTTTGTGCCTGACAAAAGTGAGAGTGGAATACAACTATTTCATAAGTTTGATAAAACTGGCTAACGGTTCTTTTACTTTGCTAGCATTGTGTCTTCAAATACAATTCTGCGTTAAGGGTAAAAAATGGACCATACCTTTGAAGCGGTAGCTCACAGTGGGTGTGATTAGCCTTGTTAAAGATACTTAATATTGGTTTGGCACGATCACGGACTGTCATAGCAGCTCGATCATCGCTGAAAATGTCCTGGAAAATGATCTCTGGAAAAGAGTGGGAACCCTCCCCAGTCCCCTGCTGTCCCCGCACGAACATGCTGCTCCAGCCCCAACAGCCTGAGCACGGTTACGTCTTATACGTACTTCATCAGATGTCTTTACGTGATCCTGACCCGTTCTTTTGTGTACAAAGAGCACGGTGTCTAGTGGATCCGATTAAAGGTCCCGCACATGTATGAAGCTTTATGTTCTTCTGGGTATGAGAAGTCGGGCACACATTAGTTGTTAAGTTGTTGTTACTGCTGTTCCGTGCACACTTTTTTTCTGTCATTTAACATCCTGCTCCTGATTGGTTCCTTTGCAGGATTCCCTCCCTCGGCCTATGTGATCCCTCCCCCTGTGGGGTTCCCGGGACTCCAGGTGAATCCGGGCTTCACGTTCTCCACCGGAGTATCCGTCCCCGCCCCTTTCCTCCAGCCGGGTGTCCACACCCAGGCCGGCACACAGGCGGGTAAGCCGTCCACATTCCCTACAGTCAGCAGAGGCCCTCAGGTCCCGGTCCAGGTCAGGGACCAGGGTCCTCGGGCCAGATGCCAGGGCAGATGAACCAGGGGTCGTCGCAGAATCAACAGCCTCAGAATCAGCTGCCCTCTCAGCAGGCCATGCAGCAGACGGTCCAGCTGCAGGTTCAGGCCATGAGCCAGCAGCAGCAGTCTCCCACCAAACCGGTGCAGCAGGTCGGGATGGGGAAGAGTCCACCACACCACCCGGGTCTGCAGCAGGTCAGTACTTTAAACATCCACCTGTTAGACGAAGGGTTCTGAGATTGCTGTCCCTATAAGTGGAAAGATTACTGACTCAGCTAACCTGAACGCCTCAGGCAGCAAACGCTCTGTCCCCCTTTAGTTTTTATACTGGTCTTTGGGGATCTTACCTTTAAATCAACAAACATGGAGCAATGATCTCTGTGTCTTTAAAAGTAAAAAAAGATCCAACTTTCAAAATATTTCTGAGATGGGAAAAACAAAACTGTACAAGCTTTGTTCTGTGCTGCTCAAAATTAAAGGACCCAGACTTTTTGCAGCAGGTTTGACATGGTTCAATATGCAACCAGCAGGTGGCAGCATTTCTTTCGGTCATGTGCAGTGGTCCAATTAAAACGATCTCAGACTTGTTAAAAATCAACTGCAAAAAGTTACTGGACATCCAGCTCTTGATCTCAGACAGGCAGTCGTTCACAGAACTCGAGATTTAATGGGCAGGTACATCTGGGTATCATCAGCATACACATGAAACAACACGCCATGTTTATAGCGTACTTAACTAACTTAATACTTAATTAACACTGTCTTTAAAGAGTTCTTCAGGGCTGCGTGTGTAAAACCCCAGAATGATTCGGAGCCTTCCCTCAGACGGAGACGGATGAGAAACGTTTGTCGCAGTTGGTGATCTTCTTTGTATTTTCTTGTCTCTGCAGTACATGCAGGTCCAGGATCAGCCGGCTCAGATGTGGAACCAGGCTCAGGCCGCCCTGCAGAAGATTCCCTCCCTGCAGATGTCCATGAAGCAGCCCCAGCAGCAGCAGCAGCAGCAGCAGGCCTTCTACATGGCGGCTCAGGACCCCCTCAAACTGTACGAGCACCAGCTGCAGCCCCCCAGCATGGACAAGAAGATCAAGTACCCCAACGTCAAGATGCAGGACTTCTACTGGGAGCCGTCCTACAGGTTAGGAGAAGGGCTGGCTGTGATGGCCGACAGGATGAAGAGGCCTCCACCGGGAGGAATCTGTCCAGAGCAGGACCCCTCCGCCGGGCCCAGGGGACCCCCGTTTGAGGTGAGCATCCCTAAAAAAAGGAGGCGAGGGTGTGTTCATGTCCTGATGCGTCTCTGTGTCTGTTCGGTTTCTGAGCGGGTCCTTTGTCTTTCTGAGGATGGTTTGTTTGATCGCTCGGTGCCTGTTTTCACGTCATGTTTATAAAGTGATGAAATATCCGATCAGGAGTCTGTATACTGTGTGTTATTTTTTAAATCGACCGGACGCTCTGTGCGTTTCCTTGTCTGGCTTCCTGTCCGTCTCGATCTATTCTGTCAATCTTGGCGTGAGACTAGAGTGGTGGAAAACAGCGCCGTAGTGCTAGGCGTGCAAGGATTATGTGGATATTGGCAGTGACTGTTAATCAGCTAGCTTCTCAGTGTCGGCTTCCTCCTGATCATGGGTACATTTTGTCCTTTGGTCTTTTTGGATTTTAGATTCAAGTTGTGATTTTTTTTTTATTTTTTTGGGCCATTTTGCTTTTTTATGAGATGGGACAGCTGGAGAGAGACAGGAAATGTTGGGAGTAGAGTGTGGGATGACATGCAGCAAAGGACAGAGGTCGGATTTGAACCCACGGCCGCTGCGCTAAGGACTATAGCCTCTGTATATGGTGCACGCGTCATAACCGCTAGGCTATTAGTGCTCTCAAGGCGTTATGGGGGGACGAAGTGATCCCCCTCTGCGCCGTCTTCAGAGGTGTTAAAGAGGAGAGAGAGGGGATCAGCTGAGCCAGCGGGGAGAACAGCTGTGTGTGTGTGGTGTGTGTGTGTGTGTGTGTGTGTGTGTGTGTGTGTGTGTGTGTGTGTGTGTGTGTGTGTGTGTGTGTGTGTGTGTTGTGTGTGTGTGTGTGTGTGTGTGTGTGTGTGTGTGTGTGTGTGTGTGTGTGTGTGTGTGTGTGTGGAGCTCCTTCTGAGAAATCAGAATCAATATGAACGTACAAAGACGTGATGGCGATGGAGCTCCGTGATGGCGATGGAGCTCCGTGATGGCGATGGAGCTCCGTGATGGTGATGGAGCTCCGTGATGGCGAGGGGCTCCGTGATGGCGCTGTTAGGGCTAATGTTTTCCCAGCGACTGGAGGGTCAGCACCCACTGAAAGCTGATCTCCGCATGCTTCTGGTTATCGAGCAGCAGAACACAAAGCTAGAGATGTGTTGTCGAGGACGATTTGAAAATGAAGCTCTCAGGTTTCTTTAAGCTTTCCTACTTCCACCTCTTGTCTTACCGGCTTACCTTCTTTCTGTTTCTCTTCTTTTTCCCGCTCTCTCTCTCTCTCTCTCTTCTTCTTCTCCTTCTCCTCGTTTCATCTCTCACCAGGACAACAAGAGCTCGCCTCTTCTCCCTCCTGACCTGTTAAAAACTCTAGCAGATTTTGAGGAGGAGGAGGAGCTCGTCTTTACTAAGCCTCCTGATTTCTTCCAGGCTTTGGCTGGCCCTCTTAGCACTGCTCCCGGACCAAACATTTTTGTATGTAGACCTGTTTTCTGCCTCCAACATCCCATCCCCTCCACCACCACCACCACCACCCTGCATCCAGACCCATCCAAACCTAACGACACTCTGTTCATCATTTAACAGAACTTCTGTCTCTCTCGTCCTCTCATCTTCCTTTTTGATTAATTTACTAACACAACAACTAAAATTCAGTCCAGACATTTTAAAACAAATCACCCCATGATGCAGAACTCTTCCTGAAGTCTGAGTGTTAAAGTCAAACATGAAGCCTCACTGTTGCTTCAGCTGCTGGTCAGATTCTTCTCTGAGTTCAGGATACACATCGTGCACCTCTCGTCCAATCGCCTGCCTGTTTGCTTGAAGTGAAATGCTGACTGGAGAACGACTGATTAATCAGTGAGCTGATAATGGTCAGCGATTCTATTTGATAGCACGATGCATCACGGTGCAGCCTCAATTTTCTATATAACCGAACATGGCTACTTTTTCAGAGACGACCAGTCTTAAGAACATGAACTCCTTTTGTATCAGTAATTAAATTATCAATGTCTTTACAATGGAAGCTAAAATAAACTAATCCTTAGGGTTCAACCGATATCGATACTGGGGGGGAAAAATCAGATCCCGATATATGGGCCGATGTCTTTCTACCATCTTTAGAGATATATTGATTTTTCGTTCATCGCTCTAATGCAGTTATCAAACACTTGTGGAAAAGATTTATAATGAAGACGAGATGGTCACTCAGCTGGAAAGTAACTGAGCATGTACGTGCATCACCGCTCAACACTCTGCAGAGTGATGATGCTTGTTGTAATCCATATAGCGCCCCCTGCTGGTGACAGAGAACTAGTGTAACACAATGAGACTCAGATTAAATGATGTTTGACTGGAGAATAAATCGAGTAATATCGGAGCATATCTGCAATGAAATTAGCCGATACCGATAGTCACTGGATATGCTGATATCAGGCGATATTATTGGCTGGCTGATTAATGAGATTTATTATAAAGATAATGAAAAGGTTATAAGCACAAGTTTCTGTGTTCACTTCTCAGAACATTGTAGCTCTCATCTGAATCTGTGAGCTTTGTTCAGGGTTAGTTTTGTGTCCTGCGTTTTTATTTCCGACGAGTCGCTGCTGCTGAAATGCGTGCGTGCGTGCGTGCGTGCGTGCGTGCGTGCGTGCGTGCGTGCGTGCGTGCGTGCGTGCGTGCGTCTGTCTGTGTCTGTCTGTCTGTCTGTGTGCCGCTCTGTGTCAGTACTCATCCCCTCTGTCCGTTATCTCAGCAGCTGCCAAACCAGACCAGGATGGAGAGTGGACCAGAGGTCGTCAGCCAATCGTCTTCTCTCCTGCCCATTTCTGGATTCCCCATGCAGGTCAGAACTTTTCTCCATCCTGGTTATCACGACATCAGCTCTTTCAATACCGCCATCACCGGTTTAAACGCGCACGTTTGGTCGTGTGGCAACGCTGATTGTTCAACCTGCCAGCTACAGCGGCGGTTATATTAAAGAAGCGTTAAAGATGGAGTCAGTATCATGTCCCTACAAAATAAAATACAGACTTATACTAAAGTAAAGCTGCTCAGTCATCACTTCGGGGCAACACAACGATTTTTCAGTGATATTTATGGTCTTGGTCTTGGTCTTGGTCTTGGTCTTGACCTGGATCCCTAAATGTCTTGGTCTTGTCTGGGTCTCAGAGCTCTCTGGTCTTGACTACCACACTAACAGAGACTCTGTCCTCTGACTGGATTTTACTGTTCTGATTTGTTCTGGTTGACTCGGGACGTTTCTGGGCGGAGCTGGTGTGTTTCCTCCAGCCAATGACAGCGCAGCAGGTGAGTTTAGGAGTGGATACAATTCAGTGATTGGACGAGATTCAAAGCCGTGAATATGACGGACGTGGACGTAGCAGCAAAGAAGAGAAAATATAATCAGAGTGAGGAGAAACACCAAGTGGATAAAGCTTGTTCTAAAACGAGGGTGAACCTTGTGTTGTCTTTTACCTGTAGATGTGGAGTTGGTCTACTTCCTGTTGGACAGGAAGGTGACAAACACCAGCGGTTAGCTTGTGCTAGCGTGCTAAATTGTTGGTACAAGCAGTAAACGTGCACACTACGTCCTGCAGGGAGTGTGAGCTTCTGGTATAGATGAGCCCAGGAGGAGGGGCCCTGTACTGACTCTGACACTCAGAGCAGAGCCAGCAGTCTCACGCGCTCACTGACCAAACGACTCCGCCTCCTCCTTGTGTCAGAGCGGGTGGCAGTGTTTACAATGAATGTTAATTTGCGCCCAGCATTCAGGTAAACTTGTGTTCTCCCCTCTCCAAGTTTCAGCAAACAACAGAAACATTTAGTGTGCTCGCCTGCAGTGCGTCTCTTTCTGCTGGAATGGATTTGCATCATCAGCGTTTGTTAAATCTTTCTGATTCGATCGATCATTTAAATATTAGAGATCGTGTCGTTTTAAAACACAGGGTATTTCACTCGTGATCAGAGATGCCTCCTGATCCGTCACAGCTCTAACGTTTACATGATTTTTTATTTTTTCAGGAGTATAACCAGAACAGCATCTTCAGTCAGGCTTACGGCAAGAACCTGCCGCCCAGCTCCAAGCCTGACACTCCCATGATGCACCAGGAGCCCTCCCTCTACTCCCTGTTTGAGGGGACTCCCTGGTCCCCCTCCCTCCCTGCCAGCTCAGGTACGTCACCTGTGAACATGTTAATAAATTCTTGTTCATTAAAAGGTACGCAGCTCTGATGTAAGCTGTTTTTTGATTGGCAGATCACTCCACCCCAGCTAGCCAATCACCTCACTCCTCCAACCCCAGCAGCCTGCCGTCCTCGCCACCGACACACAACCACGGAGCCATGCCCTTCTCCAACTTCGGGCCCATTGGTACTCCGGACAGCCGGGACCGCAGGGTGATGGACCGCTGGAAGGCCGACAAGACTGGTGAGAGAGGGGCGGGGTTTAGGTTTAGGGGGTGGAGGATTAGGGTTGAGGGGCCAGATGGGTTGGATTAAGGAGGTACAGGTGACTGGGTTTTAAAGGACTGTTGTTAGGGGGGTTCGGAGGGGCAGGTTTAAGGATACAGGTTTCGTCGTGTAGCTAACTCACTGATTGTTTTCAGGAGCGGTCAGCGGGTTCGGTCTGGACTACCTGCCGGCTGCAGCCTCCTCTGCAGCCTCGGACACCAGCTGGCACCAAGCAGGCCCGCCGGGAGGCTCCTGGACCAATCAGGAGTGTCCGATGGAGGAGTCGTCCTCCACCGTGCTGCTCGACAGCCTCAAGGTTAGTCCCGCTGTGTCTGTCATACACGAGAATAAGAGCAGCTGTCACTGACTGTCAGTGATGAACGAACGTTGAGCAGGAAGGAAAAGAAAAGCTGTGACGTTTGTGCTAACCGTGATTAGCGTCGTGCTAACTCTCCGCTCTCCTCCGCAGTCCATCTGGTCAAGCTCCATGATGCAGCCGGGCCCGTCGGCGTTGGAGCAGCTCCTCCTGCAGCAGAAACAGAAGCAGCAGCGAGGTCACGGCACCATGAACCCGCCTCACTGAACGGCCGGCCGCCGCGACACTTTGTGTTCTGACGTCAACGGAAAAAAACCCACCACCAGGAGAAATGGGAGGAGAAAAAAAAACAGAAGTTTGACGAAGACGAGCTCCAACTGAAATGGAAAATTAAACCGGTGAGAAACGGTGGAGGCTGGGGAGGCAACACGACCCCCCGACGAGGCTGAAACACCACCCCCCCCCCCTCGGCTGTCGAGGAGCGGGGGAAGCCCCTCCTGGATCGGAGGGCGCGGGATCTCTTCAAACGCGGTGCCACGTGCCACATCCGCCGGGTTTCCTTCAACCTGCGGGAAATCTGAACATTGAGGAACATAACCATCCCCCCCTTACCACCTCTAACCCCCCCGGTTTTAGACAGACGCCACACCTCCTCTCTCACTTGGAAGAACTCTCTCTCTTTCTTTAGAAATAAAAAAATAAAAACCAACCTCGTGGACGTCTGCTCAGCCGTTCGGGGCGCCTGTTTTTAGCGTCTCTGCCGCCTGCAGACTGAAGCGAGGTGTGTGTGTGAGAGAGCGAGGACGGTGTGGTGGTCGAGTTCAGGGGGGAGGTCAGGTGAAGCACCTGGGGGGGGGGGTCAAAACAGACTGGACTTTGTGATCTCTCCATTCATTTTCATGTCGGAGGAGGAGGAGGCTCTGTGTGGCTGGAGGGAGGAGAGGACGGCGGGTCGTCACTGCGGGTCGTCACGGCTATATAAATATATAAATACGTATATATTGCCATAGTTGGACTTTAAGCGGGCCTTGTCTCTTAGCCGTGCTGTGAGAGCGAGGAGTGGAAGCGGGACTGAGCGCTCGCTCGCTTGATGTCCGTTATTGGAAGGAAGAGACTTCTCGGCTCGACGACGGGGCGGCCTCACGGTGCCGGTTAACGTCCCGGGAAAGAGAGACACACGAGCGAGAGGGCGGGGAGGGGCTAAGAACATAAACCCAGTGACTCTTAGAGATAGTTTAACCTTTAGCTTCATGAGATATTAACAAACAAACTGTATTTTGTGATTTGTTCGTAGCAGTTTTAGCTTGGCGCCCTCTTGAGGTGAACACAGGTATGTCTATTAGCTTCCTGCTTGAATATTTTCGGGGGGTTCTCTTCCTCTCCGGATTTTCTTCTTCTTCCTGTTATTTCTTTACTTAATGAAGAAAAAAAAAACACTTAAAGGTGAAACCCTGCTCGCTTATTTAACCTGCTTACTGTTTCTTTATGATCCTGCTCTTTTTTACTCGTTTGAACGCAGCTCTGCTCGTCCTGCTCACGTCCCCCTGTGCTGCTGTGAGGGTTAGCACGAGGCTACAGACAGACAGATAAACAGACAGACAGACAGGTGTATACAGTTAGCTGACTCAGCCTGAATGTTTTCCACATCTCTTTCTTTCGATAACCACTCCTTGTACAGCAGATTTTTCTATGAATCGTAGCGTCCGGAAGCCCCACAGCGCCGCTTTTACTCAACCGTCACTAACCGTCAAAGCTCCCGGAACTACACGTCCCAAACTCAGGAAGGGACTGAACCTGGACCTTTGGGTGCACAAACCTCCTCCAGTATATCCCCCAAAGCAACGAGTCCTGATGTAAACGATTATTTTCACAATCTCCCGTTCATGTTGTGATGGGTTGGTTTGTGAAATCGTAAAGCGAGCTGATTATCTCGATCGGGGTGCGTCTCTCTGATCAGGAGGTTTAAATAATGTAGAAATAAATCGTCTGATTATAACCACACGTCGGTTAGAAGCTGTTTGCCCTTCAACCTCCGTCAGATCCCGCTCTGATCGTTCCGTTTAAAGAAAGTGACTAAAGTTTAGTTTGATCATGATTTAAAAATGTCGAGTAAAGATGAAAGAGAGGCAGGTGTTGGTTCTTTGAACACTCAGAGCGGCAACAAACGATCGGCGTTTTCTTCAGATGGGCAAATTTTTGTAGTAGACCCAAGACCGGACTCGAGACCACTTCCTGAAGGTCTCGGTCTCGAGATAATTTTCACTCGGGCTTGTCCCGGTCTCAGACTGGCGGATTCCGGATTTAAAGACCCATCAAGACCACCGCTGATCGGCTATTTCTCACGTCATCACTGAGATTAGAAGGAGAACGTCATAACTTAGTCTGATTTTAATCCCCCGGTAACGTCCGCAACCTTCGTGGTGGTACGGTTTAAGTGAGTGAGACGCCCGCGCTACACAAGGTGATGATTTGTCCTGCCTTGGTCTTTGGTCTTGTCTACGCTTTTAAAAACTACAAATATGACTTCCTCAGAAGTCCGGGAAAGAAAACCTGATCATAAATCTGCTCTTTGATAAACCAGCCGTCACAACTGGCTCCTGTCGGATCACGCCGTCTGAAAAAACAGTTTCTGAGTGTGTTTAGTTTGATCGATGGTGTAAAATGTTCCGTTCACGACGTTAAAGTGAGGCAGCTGGATCAAACGGTTTTCTTCTTTATCATCACCTCTCTGCCCGTCGGTGTTTCTGTAGCGCCGCCCCGACTTTAGTTTGAAAGGAGAGACGAGCGGCGGTGGAAAACAGGCTCTACCAGGCGCTCTGCGTCTACTTTAAACCACAATTCCAGTTTCACTTCAAGGTTCCAGAAAAGTTCCCGTGACGGACACAGAACAGCGGAAGAGTGACGTCGAGTTTGTTCCTCGTCGAGCGTTGACCTTCACTCAGTCCTAGAAGTTTTAAGCCAATCAGGACGCATAGAGGCTGCAGC